GCGAGATCGACCGTCACGAGGACGGAGATGTCGCCGCGGGGCGGGCAGGCGCTATGTTGCACACACTTCTCAGCGCGGGCGGAGCCCAGAGCAGTCGCGTCGAGGACTCGTCACGGGTCGACCTGCTGCTTATCCAAAGGTTTCGAGAAGGCTCATGGGAGAGAGAGGGAGAGAGAGAGAGAGAGAGAGAGAGAGAGAGAGAGAGAGAGAGAGAGAGAGAGAGAGAGAGAGAGAGAGAGATGGCAGGGAGGGAGAGAAGACACGCGCCTCGGCGTGCCGCCGCAGCCACTCGCAGCCCGCCATCTTGCGTAGCATTCGCAGCGTGTTGCGCTCGACTCGTCCGAGCGCCTCGGGCAGCCCCGCGGCCGCCAGCAGCGCGTCGGTGGGCGTCGAGAGGTCTGGCGGAAGCTGGCTTTGCGCTCGCAGCCTGGTCAGCGTGGGCGTGCGGCCAAACGCGGACTCCAGGAACGCCTCGGAGGGCGCGTCCTCGAGCCAGACCAGCACCGTGAAGCCACGGCCGGCCGCCGGCTGCATCACGTGCGAGCCTAGCGCTGCGGCCGTCGCAGCGAGCGAGGAGCGCCCACGCGCCGCTCCCGAGATCTCGATTGCGACGACGCTCGACGCCACGGTGGCCTCGGCCGGGGCTCGACGCCAAAGCGGCAGCGCGATCAGCAGCAGCGGCAGGAGCAGCAGCTGGGCGACTCGCACTCGTACTCGCATGTATATGCGGAGCTCTCGATGTGCGGACGGGCCCCTCCGCGTCGAGCGAGAGTCTCGACGTCGACGCACACCGACGTGCACGAGGCCTAAAGGACCAGCACCAGCGAGGCGACGGAAAACAATCCTCTTGCGAGCCGATGCTTCACTCATGCTTCGGTGTGAATCACGCCCGCTGTGAAAACATTTTGCGGGGGATTTTTTCGCCAGTCAATAGAGCATGAAAATACCTTTCAGACGGTACCTTTCTGTCCTCCAGAGTCGAAGAACTCGACCGGTGGCTGGCCGCCAAAGTGGCTGGACGGCGCCGCGGCGCACACTGGTGAGCCGCGGAGCACACCAAGGGAGCTGTCCTCGGCGCAGCCGATCAGCTCCCGCGGCCTGGGTGATGGCAGTGGCACTCTCTGAGGCTCCCTGATTTTTTCTGGTATTTGTTGAGCACTCTCTGGTCACCATCGCCGGGCGAGCCTGGCTCTCGCTGCACAGCGGCGCGACCCGCGGTGAGGCTGCCGATCGTCGAACTGGGCTTAGCTCTCAATCAAGATATTGTGCATATGGTCGGTCTCTACAATATCTTGACTGAGCACGACCGATGAATCGGCAGCACGGAGACAGGAAGGCTCGCTGTGTGAGTCGGCCACGCAGAGGGTCGGAACCTGGGTCGCAAGAGGCTATCACGTCAAAGCGTCCGAAAAAGTCCTTCTTGAAATTCTTTTCCAAGTACTAGCACGCGCCAGTTCGCACCTGTGTCGAGCCTGTGTGCTGTGAGAGAGAGTTGTTTTGTTTAAATTCTTTTCCAAGGTTTAGTGTGTGTGAGTGTGTCACTCACTCACTCACCAAGGTTTAGCGATTTAGAATCTCAGCGATTTAGAATCTCACTCACCAATCCACCCACCGCCGGTAGTGTGACTGTAGTGTGACTGTTTTCGGCGGTCGGTTCGTTGCGCGGAGCTCTTCCTCGCCCACTCGCGTCACGAGGTTCAGCTCGAATGAGGCATGGCCGGGGGGGGCAGCCATCGTAACCACCAATCAAAATCGGCCTGATTTGTCACGCCAAGCCGGGCCAGCCCGCGGTCGGTGCGGCTGGCGTGCCCCGCGACCCTTAGTAATGAGCACTTGAGCACTGGATAGGGTCGATTCCGCATGGTGCGGACGGGACCCACCCCTCGATCGTTCGTCTCGCCCTCCCTCACTGCCTCACTGGTGTGTTCATTGGGGGGGGTCATAACAAACACGGTCATACAGGTAATGGGAGAAAAGAAAGGGAGACGCGGGCGGCTTTGCCATCTGTCTCTGTTTGTCGGCGCAGGCGATGGGGGCGGCGGCGGGGGACACCGAGTCCGCAGCGGAGCCCGCCACGGCGCCTAACCCCGCGCCCCCCGCGGCGCCGGCCCCGGCCGCAGCCGTGCAGGCCGCGGCCCCTCCCGCGGCTGCAGCCGCACCGGCTGCGGCAGCGGGCCCGTCGAATGCGACGACGGCCGCCATTAGCGCCCTCCTCGCCCAGCGCATTGCTTAGTGGTGCGCTCGCCTCCCTCCTGCGCGACGCTCATTCGAGCGCGTTGTCTGTCTTGGCGCGCGCGCAGCGCGCGAAGAGGTGTGAAGAGGGGGGTCGTGTCCGGTGTGAAGGGTAACCCACCAGGGTATCAGCCTATCCTCTAGGGGCCCAATGCGGGTCCTCTCAAGAGGGTATCAGGGTATAGCCCTGGGGTATGATCTTGCATACAATGATACTATACCAGGCTGAAGTGTCGAATCCAGGCTCTCTCCTTGTTGAGACACGTGGCAACGGTGAACGAGCAAGCGTTGCGACCTGTCCGGCGGTGGAGGTGGCGACGGGCGAGGCGACCACGCTCGCGTGGGCGCCGACGATCGTCAACTCGAGGTGACGCCACCGACATGAGCGTGCGCAACCCGGTGGTGCCGCATGCGGCGCTCGAGAGCGGCGCCGTCGCGCCGCGCTGCATGACCTACGGCAGGGGCTTCCGCCCGCCAGACATGATGGACTGCACGCCCGGCCACCTCCACGGCTGCACGACGCCGCCCGCGAAGACCCGGTCCGGCGTCGAGTCGGTCGGGCAGACTGGCGGCTGGAAGCTGGACCCGGGCAAGCCGTACCTGCTCGATCTGGGACTCGCGAGGGCGATCGCGGCGGTCGCGCACCGGCACACGCTCGTCGAGCTCGGCGCCGGCCTCGGCTGCTACTCGCTCATGCTGGCGCACTGTGGCGTCCACGTGCTGGCCGCGATCGACGGCGCCGAAAAGGTGAACGAGCTGTCGGGCGGCGTGGTCACGCGCGCCGACCTGACGCAGCCCATGCGGTCTGCGGCCGACTGGGTGATGACGCTGGAGACGGGCGAGCACATCCCGTCGTTCCTCGAGTCGGTCTTCCTGAACAACACGGCCGACAACGCCCACTGCGGCGTCGTCCTCTCGTGGGCCTTCCCCGGCCAGCCCGGCATCGGCCACGTCAACACGCGGCCGCAGGGCTACGTGGTGGCGCAGATGGCGTCCCGTGGGTTTAAGGTCGACGCGAATCACACGCAGCGCCTCCGCCGCGCGGCGTCGCTTTGGTTCCTGCAGCGAAACGTTCTGGTCTTCACGAGGATCGCGCCGAGCGCACGCGGCAGAGCGTGCCAGCCGCCCGACTTCTCGCTGAGCGACGCCGAGGTGAACCGGATATGCGAGACCAGGCACACGAAACACAGGTCAGCAACACGTGAGATCACATGACTTCATGAGAGACGCGCGACCGACCCGTCGCGGACACGAGGTCGCCCGTATTACACAGTAACAGTATCGGCTAACCCGATCCTCACAAGACGCGACAGGGGAGAGATCGTTCATGTATGTGAATTCACATGAAAGATTTTTACATGTGAAAGTGAACGGGTCGCGAACCCTGGAGGGCGGGCATGAGTAGCAGCGCCCCGCGCGCCTTGTGATCACTCGCCGCTTGGGGCACGGATGCCGCTTGGCACACCCACCGCACCACCCCAGGCCCCAACGACTTTTTTTTGCGCGATGCGGGTGAGTGTACGTAGTGCATACGAGTGTAGGTTTGCCTTTGGTATTGCATTCTCTCTCTCTCTCTCTCCCTCCCTCCCTCTCCCTCCAGTAAGAGCCGTGTAACACTAACAGAGGCTAACAGCTATACGGCGTATTTGTGCGTGACAGAACTAAAGCAAAGACTGAAAGTGACGCAGCCTCCTCTCCCGCGTCTCTTCCGTCGCCAGAGGCCGCTTGCGCTCTCCAACTGGCCGCGCCCCCGCCGCGCCATCCATGAGGGAGTCGCGGACCGCACGTGCGATCGCCTCCTCCTCGCTCTCTGCCAGCGACGCTCGCAAGGCCGTGGCCAGCTGCTGATCTTCCCGCCGCGCCAAATCTCCACCGTGGGATGCCTCGCCCTCGTCGCCGCGGCCACCCAGCAAGCCTTGCACACCCGCACCCGTCGAGAACTGCTTAGCCGCCTCCACCAGCATCTCCTCCATCTCCTCGAGCTCCGTCTCCTGCTGTGCCGCCTCTGTCCGTGCCCAGCGTCTTTGGCGCACGTCCGGCGGGATCTTGTCCTCCCAGTCGGGGTCGCCCTGCATCCGCGCCACCGCCGCCTCCAGCATCGCAAACGAGTCCTCCGCCGCCTCCACCTCCTCCTCCGCGTAAGCGTGGGGCTCCATGGCGTCGAAGGGCAGCGGCCAGCTGTCGAAGGACATGCTGAGGCGCGCCTACCGCAATCGGTGCACGCGTGGCGTGGCTGCTGGCGTTGCATGGCCAGGGTGGATCGCTGCTAGCGTGCCTCCTCGCGTGCCGTGCCGCGCGGGACCGTCAGAACCACGCCGATCTCCCAGCTCGACATCTGAATCATCTCGGCATCGCCCGCGCTCGGCCGCGACGGGTCGCCCCAAGCAGTGGGAGAGAAGTTGTGGGACCCCACGTACGCCCAGCCGAAAGACGGTTGCGGCGGTGAGGAGGAGTTTGCGGAGGTGGCGGCGCTGGTGGAGCGCTCCTTGCGATAGAGCGCCACGACGATTTTGGAGTGAGCGCGAGTCACGCGTCGGGCGAGGCTGGGCGCTGTCGACTTCTCCTACAGGACACGCCGCCGGGCATGTCACAAAACACGCCCCGCAAAAGCGCCGGCCCCTGCACAGCCACCCTCTCCTCGGCGACCCGCCGATGGACGCCGCGGCCTCGCCCGATGTCGAGGTCGGCGAGCAACGGCGGCGCGCCGGCTGCGACGCGAGTGGCATGCAGCGCCGTGAACGCCTTAAACGCTTTGGCGTTGTTCATCAGCGCGCCGGCCGCGTGGCCTAAGCTCGGTGCAATCTCGGGTGCTCTCGAGTGATCTCAATGTCCTCCCGATCGGGGCTGTGCGTGGCCTGTGGGCAGCACGAGCGTCGGCGTGCACGCGCCTGGCTGCACCGCCGGCCGCAGCGTTTCCTTGAGCTCATTCGCCGTGGGCGGCTTCTCCGCTCCCTCGGGCATGGGCAGACCGTGCGCCCGCACCGCCTCGACGCAACGAGCCTTCGGCCACTCGCTCGCGTCGTTGACGCAAGCGCCGAGCGTCGGCCGCAGCACGTCGCGCAAGGCGTGTACAGGAGGCTCTTTGTGGCCGCCAGCCGGAAGAGGCACCCCTCGTGCCTCGAGCGCGGCGACGAGCTGCCCGCGGCTCCAGCTGTCAATGTCGACCTTGAGCGAGGGGCGAGGGGTGAGGGGCGAGGGGTGAGGGGCGAGGGGTGAGGGGCGAGGGGTGAGGGGTGAGGGGCGAGGGGCGAGGGGCGAGGGGCGAGGGGTGGAAGTGTGGCGGCACCGTGTCGTCGACCGCCGACGCGAAGGAGTGGAAGAAAGAGGGGGAGTGCCCGAGCGATGCAGAGTAGGACACGAACGCAACTCGCTCTGCGAGTGGCCATGGCCCGCTGGCCCTCAGCACCTCGCGCAAGCGGCCGACGCCGAAGTTGCAGCGCAGCGCGGCGGCAAGGTCGAGCCACGCGCTGGTCGGCACACCCGACGCTCCGGGCTCGCGGTGCTTCCGGCTGACGGAGAGGTCGACATAGACAGACGCGCCCTGCAGCACGGATGGCAGCTCGACCCTCCCCTTCTCCAGCGGCAGTTGCGGCTGCACGGCACTGCCCACTCCCGTCGTGGCCTGCCGCTCCCGGAAGACAACCTCGACGCGGACGGCGACCCGGACCTCTCCTGCCGCCCACAGCTCGCGCAGCCCCGCCGCGTCGCGCCGCGCGAGCCGGCCGATATATTTAGGGCCCACGCCGCAGGCCGGCCCTCCGGCGCCGCCCTGGCTTGGGCGCCACCGGACCCTGAATGCGTTTGCGTCATAGGCGTTGGCGTCCTCCGCCTCGATCTCGAACAGAGCGCGAGGACCGCCGCCCGGCGCAACCAGAGGGTCGTTCTCCAGCCTGTACGGCCCCACCCCTAACTGGTAGGCACCGCGGCACGCGGCGACGAGCGAGGCCAAATTGCCCGCCATGGCCTCGTCGTACTCCCAGCACATCAGCCGGCCGCCGAGCCGGCCGAGGCGGCCGCCGCCTCCGCCGCGGTCGCCGCCGCCACTGCCCCCGCCGCCCCCGCCGCCGCTGCCCCCGCCGCCGCTGCTGCCGCTGCTGCCGCCGCAGCCGCCGCTGTCGCCGCCGCCCCTGCCGCCGCTGTCGCCGCCGCCACTGCCCCCGCCGCCGCCCCCGCTACTGCCGCCGCCGCTGCCACCGACGGTGCGGCGGAGCGGGTGCATGCCGGGCATCGAGAGGACGAGGAGGACGCCGGGCGGGACGAGGGAGAGGTCGTACCTAAGCAGGAAAGTTGCGGGAAGAGTCCGAGAGAGGAAGGTGGCTGAGGGAGGGGCGGTGATCTCAGCTGCTCTCGGCTGCTCTCGGCTGCTCTCGGCTGCTCTCGGCTGCTCTCGGGTGATCGCGTGTGATCTCGGCAGTGCTGCGGAGAGTGGGAGGGCGGCGCGCACGTGGCGAGCATGTCCGCCCAGTCGAGCAGCCGCGCCGCCGCCGCCCCGTCCCCCTCTCGGTGCAGCGCCTCCACCGCCGGCTCCGCCATCGCACGCAAGCACTTGTGCAGCACGGAGCCGAAGCGCCAGCCAACGGCGGAGCAGGGTAGGACGAGGTCGGGCCGGGGTGTGTGGAGGAGGTCGAGGGGCGGTGAGCGCCAGACGACGTCGCCTTTCGGGCGGGCGGGACAGGCTGATGATGGTGGGGAGGAGGGGGAGGGGGGGGGGGGGGCGACGGTGACCTCGCCTACGCTTCCCCTCTCCGAGAGGATGTTGTCGATGTTGCACGACATGATGTGCGTGCGGAGGTGTGCCCCTGCGACGCCGCCCTCAGCCGCCCCGCTCGCGGCCTGCACAAGCGAACGAATTCACTGATCGATGACTGAATTCACTGAGTGAATGAATCAATCACCTGCGCGTGCCGCACGAGCAGCAACTTGGTGTGCTGGATCGAGTGCTTGGCACGGCCCTGCAGCAGCGGGGGGCGAAGACGCGTCGGTCTGGTCATGTGCAGGTAGGAGTGAGTAGCAACTCCTCACGCCTTGGCGGGCGCGCGCTCCGGCTCGTCGCCTGCGAGGGGCGGGTAGAGGACGGCGCACCGCACGCGAAAGGCGGTCTTGCCGTCCTCGCTCGCCGCCGGGCACGCCACGTAGTGCGGGTTGTTGGCGAAGCCTTCGCTCGCGCCGACTGGGCCGTCCCTGCTGGCGCCGACGCCGTCCGTGTTGCGCCAGTCAGACACGAGGAGGACCTCCTCGAGGCGCGGGCAGGTGGCCTCGAGCCTCCGCCGCAGCTCGTCCAGCTGGCTGCGAGCGTGCCCAAACGACGACAGCAGCACGTGCGTCACAGACTCGGCCGGCTCGATCATCTCGCGAAACGAAATCGCCCACGGCCGCTCCGGTTCGGTCGCGTGGTCGCGAAGCTGGCAAAAGGAGGGCGGCGGCTGCGGCGAGTCCTCCGTGAGGTCGATGGAGGCGCCGACAGAAGCGTCCACTCTGGGCAAGTCCTCCGTGAGGTCGATGGAGGCGCCGATAGAAACCTCCACTCTGGCCGGCACAATGCTGTTAAGCGGGAGCAGGTTCTCTGGCTTGAACGTCGCTCGCCCGCGCTCGCCGCCGGGGAATGTCACGACATATCGCTGCTTCAGACTCTGGTACTTGACCACTTTCACCGTGACGCCGTTGAGGAGCGGCTGAGATTGCAGCCCAGCCAACCGGGCAATGCTGCCCTCCTGCAGCATGTGGACGAAGTCAGGGCCGGCCGAGGAGGGGTCGGGACTCAGGAGCCGGCCGAGGAGGGGTCGGGACTCAGGAGCCGGCCGCGCAGGAAGTTGAGGGAGTTTTCTTTTTTTGACATTTTAACTAAAAAACAAAAACGCCAGTTATTCCGGCCGCGGCGGTTTTTCGTTCACGTATCACTATCAGTTCGCCTCGGAGAGCGCGCGGATCGAGAGCGAGCCCAGGCCGGCCTAGGCCCGGAGCTGAGGCGACGCCCCCCACAGCGCACAGGCCCCACCGCCGTATAGTGCCGGCGCACACCCGCACACACCGACGCGAGAGCACCCGCCGAGCGGGTGGACTGTTTTTATGTATGTAAATTATTTATTTACGATTAGACACACGCACCTGGCTCCTGGGAAACGGCGAGAATCGCAGCAACCAGCATGCAGTTCAGCGCGGAAGGGGGGGGGGGGGGGGGCGACGTCCCGACACGGCAGGTTGGAGCTGACCCCGGGAGAGAGAGAGAGAGAACAGCGACGGCAGCCCCCAATGACCGTAGACAGACATGACGAGCCGACAGCGATGCAGCGGCAGCGAAGGCGGCGAGGAGGGCCCGCGCTGCAGAGCTCCGCCGGGCGGCAGCAGAGACATCGGCGGACGGGGGAGCACGCGGGACACGTCGGCATAGGAGCCAGGGGGGTGGGCTGGGAGAGTTGAGTCAGATGCAACAGCACCGTCTCGGCAGCGAGGCCCATGATGGCGACGGCGGCGGCGGCGGCGAGACGGCGGCGAGGGTGGCGACGGTCACGATGAGGGTGGCTGTTGAGGAAACGGTACTAATATATGGTTTAAGTTATGCCTAGAAGCATGCGCGCGGTGTGTGCAGACCGCCTGCTGCGGTGCGTCGTAACATTTAGCGCCGGGTGTGACGACCCGAGAGTGTGGTGTCTAGGTGTCGAGCGGTGTGGCGTGTGGTTCACCGCTGCCCCTCAGGGAGGAGATCATCCACCTCTGCTATAGCACGTGTTCTTTTCGTACTGAGTGCATAGCTCCTACCCCTCTCGCCACAGTCAGACGAGAGGCGAGAGGCACAGCCACAAAAACCACTACGCGCTCCCGGCCTTCTCTGTTCTTTGAGACTCCTACTCTCCCTACATACATCTACACGGTATCCGCTCTACCAGATAGAAGGGACAGGACGGGTCGCGGGTACGGGTGTAAGGAAAGCGTTGAGCGATGCCGACGGTCGGAGATTGCCTTGTGTGAGTTGATCGCACTTGAGGACTCGTTGAGAGAGAGCCGCACGGCATGTACTTTTTACTTCTCTGTTTTATCACATACACAAGTGTGTAAACTCACTCAACGCAGTAGCTAAAAATGGAGCTCTTACGTAATTGCACACTCACTATGTGCACCAATGAACAGGGCGAGAGAGCGTGTCCTGCGACAGCTTTTGTCGGGTGCCTAGGCTCTCTCAAACATGGCTCCGCAGCCATCGGGTGGGTCATTGCTGAGCTTGACCCTGATGTTCCTTGCTGAGACGGTGCATGACTGTGCCGTCGACTTTGACGGACAACCCCCCGGGCCGTATTGCCCAGGGACAGCTGCCCAGATGTCGCTCCGGAGCTGGAACTTGCACTCACCCTGCACGCATCCGACTGTGCTGTACCAGTCGCTGTACGTTGTGGAGGACACGTACTCCTCACACGTGCCCTTCGATGTCTGATCGCACACACCCATCGTGGCCTTGCCGCTGCTGCCGAGAGTTTGATCGACAGTGAGCGTGTAGTGGAGCTGCATGCCCGTCGCCGGGTACTGCTGTTGAAAGCAAATCGAGTCGCCGTGCTGGTTCGGGGCACAGGTGTTTTCTCCGAGGCTAGTCGCCACAGTGTTTTTGCCGCCGTTCATGCACGTTTCGACGAAATCAATCTCGCCAGACGCGCCTTGATTGCAAATTGGTTCGGACCCCCTGTTGTCGCACCAATTTGGCGGGGTCGGGGTGATCCACAGCGGGGCAACCCACGTTTCATCGCAGTCGTCGATCGCAATGTCCGCCTCGATCGAAACGAGTTCCTTGAGCGGGAAATCGCAGCTCCTCACCGCCTCGCACGCTGGTTGATCGCCCTTTGCTAGCACGATTGAGGTGGGATCGCCGGAGCACTGTTGGTATGTCGATGGGTTGGGAGTTGGCACCTGGCAGTTGTTGTGCACCTCGCCGTCCTCCAATGGCTTCCAAGCAGAGGTGAGCTGGTTGAATGGCTCAATGTTGCCCTCGCAGAGCTCCACCGATGGGGAAGGCGAGGGCGAGGGCGAGGGTGAGGGCTCCATGCAGTAGCACGAGGACGAGATTTGGTAGTTCTTTTCAAGTCCGGGGCAGCACTCGTCGCCCTCGATGTTGCACGTTCCCAACTTCGGAATGCAATGGGGCGGTTCGGGTCCGTGCTCCATGCTGCACACGGCAAGGTTAGGGCCGATGCACTGCTCTTCGTTGTCACCGCTGCAGACGTCGTTGTGGATGTTGTAGCAGCACTTCCCTTCTTCGAACTGCGCGTCGGGACAGGTGCTGCACGTGCTCGGGCAGGCAGGCAGAGCAACGCCCGCCGAGGAGTCGAGATCGACCACACGGTTCTCCTGCCCGTCAGGTACGATGATGGGCAGAGCATTTGCGACCCCAGCGCCGACGGCGATCAGCATCAGCTTTGAGAAGACCGGCATGGTTAGATCCTGCGGAGACAGTGAGAGACACGGTGAGGCAGGCGCGATCGATGGTGACGGAGGGCGCATGCGGCATGGTGGCAGACAAGGCAGACGACGCGGCGTGGCAGGGACAGTGGGAGGCGAGGCGCGCGCTGGCGGAGAAGGGCGCGCAGTGGCGGTCAGTGGCAGACGGCGTGGCGTGGCAGGGCCTGGGCTGGCAGCTCACGATGGATGTGCGATGTGAGAGGTCCTGCCGATTTTCAGCGGCTCCTTGCAGGTCGCAGTTTCGTACGTCCGAGCAAGTCCAGGATTCAAAGGAGGCGTTGTGTAAGGTGCCTATATCGGCTTCCAGTATCGGACCTTCAAGACATGCGCTTTTGGCCGGTGGCCTCCTCTTTTCTTTCATAGTCGTCATTCATAGTCATGAACGCTGATGTTGCTGGCAAGACAGAGAAGCTCGGACAACATCACAGCGGCGACACCAACCGCGCCCCCAACCGCCCCCGTGTCGCGTGTGTCAACGTGTCAAGCCGGTGTCCAGGGATAGAGACGTGTCGTCGAGGGAGGGGTGTGTCGAGAGTGGTGTCTAGTGTCGAGCGGTGTGGTTGCTGGTTCACCGCCCTGGGGTGGGTCGTTTTTTTTGTGGTGCACGGGGTGCTGACGCCACGGATCGTCTTCACGATAATGACCTTTGTGTATTTTGTGTCACAATGTGAATTCGCGCGGCTTTCAATCGTAGTGTCTGTGCTAGTCGAACACCCCCCCCCCCCTCGGTCGACCCCTCGTTCACCAAAACTCTCCGCGACGCACGTCAGGGCGAACAGGCATGCTGCCTGCGTAAGTGCGTTCATGGTTGCCCCGCGCCCGCGCTTTCCCCCCTGGGATGAGGCTCAGGCTAGCGCGCTAGCGGTCGCGGTCGTACCGGCCGCCGCGGCGATCTCCAAGGTACTCGCTCTCTTGCCGATCACGTCCCAGCCGGCGCTCTCTTGCCGGCGGAGGCGACCGGCGCTGCTCGTGCGCACGGTCCGAGTCTCGCTCTCGCTCTCCGTGCCGGCCGCTCTGCCAATCGGACGAGTGTCGGTCCCGGTCGGCGCCGCTCCCGTCGCCGTACCTGCGCAAGCGCTCCTCGTGGTTGCGGTCGCCGAAGCGGCGCTCGTCGGACCGCCGATCGGCGGGCGGTCGCTCGGCCGCCCCTGCCCAACCACGCACAGGGGGTCGATCGGTTGGTGTTTTGCATGTGGAGGTGTTGGGAGGTGGGAGGTGGTGGCGGGCGGGTGGGGGTGGGGGTGGGTGGGTGTGTGGGGGGGGGGGGGGGCTCGGTGCCCGTCGCCTTGTCCCGTCCGCGCGCTTCCGATGTGGCGGCTCCCGCCTGGCAAGACTGCGCCCGGCGGAGGCACACTGGGAGGCGCGTCGGCCGGTGGACCGCTCGTCGCCTGGTAGAGGAGAGGTGTGCATCACAAAGGGTGGAGGCGTGGAGACCGAGGGGGTGGACTGGCCGCTCGTCGCCTCTGCCGGCGGCGGGTCGGCACCTCGCCCATCGTACAGGGCAGCTTGAAGCGAATTGTACGCCGTGGGCGCCGCCAGCTGCTGGTGGCCAAACGACGCACAGCCGTTATCGCGACCGCCGCCACCGCCACCGCCACCGCCGTCGCCGCTGCCGCCCGAGCTCGAGCTTTTGGCACGGCTGCAGTCCCGCTCTCCCGACTCGGCGGAGCGCTTGATGCCTGCGTCGGGGAGACGCGTCAGCAGCGCGGCGCAGCAAGGAGCAGCTAGGAGCAGCGGAGGGGCGCAGGCAGGCTAGTGGCAAGCTAGCGGCAGGCTGAGGCGAGAGCAGAGGCGTGGAGCGGTGGGCGGAGTTGAGAGCGGGGCGGCACACGCCTCTGCGGTCCCCGCAGTCGTGCGAAGGCGCGTGCGAAGGAGGCTGGCCGCCCCTCGCCCTTCCACCGTCGGCCAAAGGACGGCGGGACGGACCGCTCGGTGGCGGGGCCGAAGGCGACGGACGCTCATAGCCGCCAGGCGGCGCCTCCCGCCGCCCACGCTCCGCGCTTCCGCCGAAACGCGGGTGCCCCCGATCGGAGCTTGCACCACGCTCATAGCTCGCAGCGCGGTCGTAGCTACCGCGCTCATAGCCGCCACGGTCATAGCCGCCACGATAGCTCGCAGCGCGCTCGAAGTTGCCGCGCTCGTAGCTGCCGCGGTCATAGCTGCCGCGGTCATAGCTGCCGCGCTCGTAGCTGCCGCGATCGTAGCTGCTGCCGCGGTCGTAGCTGCTGCCGCGGTCGTAGCTGCTGGCGCGGTCGTAGCTGCTGGCGCGGTCGTACTCGTCGTGTCTGGCCCGCGTGCTTCCAATGTCGCGGCTGCCATTCGGCAGGTGAGGCGGGAGGGCGTGGGCCTCGGGCGGCGGCGTGGTCCGCACAGTTACCCCGCGCCCCCCGCCGTCGCTCTCCCGCCGCGCCGCCGCCGCGCCGCCAGCCTGCTCGCCGCCAGCCTGCTCGCCGCGCTGCTCGCCGCGCGGCGGGCCGGCGGCGGGAGGCGCGGCGGGAGGGGTGGAAGGACCCTCTGCCTCCACAAAGACCTACTCCGCATCCGCCACGTCGCTGCACTTGCAGCCGAGAGGCGGGCTTGCTGTGCCGCCAGGGGGGGCCACCTCGATGATGTGGCCGTCGAGGGTGGAGCCTGGGGGGGGGGGGGGGGGGTCGAGACAAGGCCGGTGTCGTGCACGGCCGCCTCCAGGCGGGGGCCAGTGTGTACTGGTGCGCTCTCCCGGGAGTGAGCCGCACAGCTCTGCTTCCACAGGCGCTGGAGCGGATGCCGTGCGGGCGTCCAGTGCGGGCCCGGCGGCCAGCGGCTCGAGAGCATCTGCTCATCTAGGCGGGGGCCGTTCAGGCGAGGGACAGCAAAGTCGAGGTCCTGTGGGGAGGGAGGGAGGGGGGGAGGGAGGGGGGGAGGGAGGGAGGGAGGGTGGCCGGTGTGTCCCTGCCTGGCGTGTGTGGCGTGCCTGTGTGTGCCTGTGTGTCCCTGTGTGTGCCTGTGTGTGCCTGGCGTGCCTGTGTGTGCCTGTGTGTTGTGGGGCCAAGTGGGGCGGGGTTGGGAGGACTCGCGGGTCGCTTTGCGCGTCTCGATAGTGTCGAAAGCGTGTCGGAAGTGTCTATCGGAAGTGTCTAGGAAACGCAGCCTCGCGGGAAGCGAACTCGACGATGCTGAGGGTGGGGTGCGGGCGAACAGTGTCAGAGATGGAGAGGCCGGCGAGTAGGTAGCGGGGGAGGGGAGGGCGGGGAGGGAGGGGAGGGCGGGGAGGGCGGGGAGGGCGGGGAGGGAGGGAAGGGAGGGAGGGGAGGGAGGGAGGGGAGGGAGGGGAGGGCGGGAAGACGGGAGGAGGCGAGGCACCCGTGTCCGTTCACGTCGATGTCCGAATAGATGATGTCCCCGATCTTTCTCATCTCGTCACGAAGCGTCCTCCACCTGCGCATGGCCCGAGGCGGGGACGGCGTCTCGGAAGGCACCCTGGATTGAGAAAAAAGAATTCTCTGGCGCCAGAGCGGCAAGGATGCTCCCGGCGGGCGGGTACCCCGGCAGACGGGTACCCCGGCGGGCGGGTACCCCGGCGGGCGGGTACCCCGGCGGGCGGGTACCCCGGCGGGCGGGTACCCCGGCGGGCGGGTACCCCGGCGGGCGGGTACCCCGGCGGGCGGGTACCCCGGCGGGCGGGTGCCGCTGCTTGGGGGTGAGGCAGCAGGGGGCAGTGAGGAACGGGGAGGCCGTGTCTCGCACTCGTACGCCGGAGGCAAGTTGCGGAGGACGGCGCGGTGCCTAAGGGACATGTCACAGAGGCGTCCTGGACATGTTCCGGACATGTCCTGCACAAGCTGCGGAGGACGGCGCGGTGCCGCTGCGAGCGCGGCGCGTCAACAGGAGCGGCAAGAGAGAGAGCTGCAGAGTTGCCCGCCGGCGCCGCGTTCTTGCCCTTGTTTTTCGCGAGCTCGGCCTTGACACGCTGCTGGCCTGCGTCATCCGCGCACCAACGTCAGCAATCCGGCTCGAGTGCCAGTTTGAATACTCAGCCTGTTATTTCCGCATCTAGGGCAGCTGGCCGAGGAGCGCGTCTTGCATTCCCGCCACGACCACCTCTGCCGCACGCGTGTCGGAAAACTCCTGCGCGCGGACGTGACGGAGCGGCGACGAGGTGGGCGAGAGGCGGGCGCGCAGCGACGACCCGGCGGCGATAGTGGCGCAGCAGTGGTGGCGAGAAGTGGCGGCGGTCGCGGCAGTCGCGACACTGGCGGCGAGGGACCCGGGCGTTGCGCTCGCAGTGGTGGCGGCGGTGTGGTGGCGGCGGCGGCGGCGAGATGGCGGGACTGGCGGCGAGGAAACGGCCCTCAGCGCACCACGAAGGCAAACCCGCCCGGGTTGCGAGCGATCCACACTGATGCCGGCATCGCAAACTTGCTGCAGGCATGCATGAGCTCATCCTGGCCCACGTGCGGGTCCAGGTTGCCGATATAGACGCGGGACATTGCGCTAGTGTGAGATTAGGCCGCGCGGCACCCGGGGAGTGTGCACTAGGCGGCCACAAAGCTAGGGATAATGGGTGAACAAAAAAAGAAATAATGCCCTCGCCGAAGGGGACGGAAAGGCGGCATCATCCGTAGAGGCACGAGTGTTCGAAGAGAGAGTGGACCTGAGTAACAACATGACCTGTAGACAAATGATCGGAGTGGGAGTCAGAAATGTGGTCCTTGCGCGAGGGGAGCTCGATAGACTCGAGGGGCCAGGATACGCCGCGAGGAGGACGGAGTTGCGCCGAAAGGCGAAAGAAGCCGCGAGAACAAGGGACCGGCAGGCGGCGGCGTCACAGGACGAGGCAGAAGAGAACGACGCGACAGAGGAGGAAATGACAAGGAAGGGAGAGAACGACGAGAGTGGGACGACCGCGAGGTGGCATGTCGCATGAAGGTTGCAGCGAGAATCGGCGAGAGACTGCGAAGAGAGATAGGAAGAGGCAGACTCCCTAGGGTGGGCGACGGCTAGCGCACCACACACCTCTCCTTAAAATCCCTGTGTGGTGGCGGCGTGCCGTCCTCCCATCCCTCCCTTGGATTGTCTGTTTTCTTTCTTTCTTTCTTTCTCCGGATTCTTTCTTTACGCGCTCCGGATCACGCCCGGCAGCCCTAGCCAGGCCCCACGCGGTGGCCGCGACCGCGACCGCGGCTCTCGCTCGAGCCCGAACTGCCCGTCAGACGTGTCGGAATTGTCGGAGAATACTAGTAGCGACTAGCACACCTCTGAGAGATTTTTAGCAATACCAGCGATCTTTGTCAAGCGCAACAACTTCAACCTGCTGCTCCACGAGACGTTCGGCGGCGGCTTCTCGCCCACCGCCGTTCTCAAGCTGCGCCGCCTCGCGCGCAAAGCCGCGCGCGGCAGCGTCGACCGCACGGCCTACTCGCCCAAGTACTCGCTTTCTTTTATGTCCCACCATGCAGAGCGCATCTCTCTCTCTGTTGTGCGAGGCGTGAACCGCGCCATTCGCTCTCACCTGGCAACCCTGTCTGCACGTCTCGCGCGCGCGTGAACAGGGCTCCAGGCCCCAAATGACGTGTGAGTGTTAGAGTTGTTTTGTCACCTCTGAGAGAGAGAGTTGTTTTGTTTTGCACCTCTGTCAAGCGTCTTCCCCAGAAACCCGAGGAGTCACACACACACACACCACCTGTGTGATGCCGCCCTGCGAGCGGGGCAGGGTGCGCACTGTGCCTCTGTGTACTGTGTTCATGCGTCGCCCATCTCTCCTGGAACTCGTCCGTAGCTTTATTTATTCGGAGTCTGATTATAAGTTTTACGGATTTCGGCTGAGGGATTCGGTTGAGTGGACCTCCGGCCGTCCGTGACAGGGTTCTACCTCCGCATGAGGGTAATGCAGTCCTCTACTGAGAGCCCGATGGAGGCTATTGCGGCAGCGTCCTTCATCGAGAGCCCATTCCCTACACGAGCCGAGTACGAGGACTACTTGAGGCTCCTGGAGCGTGCTCCTTCAGAAGCGCAGCGCATGCGACTCAATGCGAACAACAAAGAACAGAGAGAACTCAATGCGAGGGCGCTGCTGGCGGAGGAAGAGGCGGAGAAGGAGGCGGAGCAGCGCGCCAAGGAGGGGAAGAAGGGGAAGAAGAAGAAGAAGAGGAAGGGGAAGGGCGGCGGGGGCGGCGCTGGGCCGTCGCGGGAGCCCGAGGTCGCGGATGAGGCAACGCTGGTGGTGGAGGAGGAGGAGGAGTTGGCGGCGGCGCTCGAGGAGAGCGCGAGGCTGGAGGAGGGGAGGCGGGCGGCGGTGGAGAAGCCGCCAGAGCCGCGGGGAGAGAAGGGCGGCGGGGGCGGCGCTGGGCCGTCGCGGGAGCCCGAGGTCGCGGATGAGGCAACGCTGGCGGCGGAGGAGGAGGAGGAGTTGGCGGCGGCGCTCGAGGAGAGCGCGAGGCTGGAGGAGGGGAGGCGGGCGGCGGTGGAGAAGCCGCCAGAGCCGCCGGGGGAGAAGGAGCCGCCGACCGACTTCGTCTGCCCTATCACGACCGAGATCATGAGCGACCCGGTGATGGCGGCCGATGGGCACGCGTATGAGCGGTATGCGATCGAGCGCTGGCTCGCGACCAAGTCGACCAGCCCGATGACGGGCGAAGAGCTTGGCAACACAGGTCTCTTCCCCAGTCACATTCTGCGCAGGATGATTCGAGAGTGGCAGCGGGCGCAGCCTCCAGGTCAGGTTGAATGATATCCTTGGCCGCGCGTTGTCGGTATTTGCGGAGATCATAACGCAAAAAACCAGCCCTGGGCGAACCGTCTTCGGTTTCGTCGTCCATAGTGCTCCCGGCAATTGAGGATTGCTTGCTCTGCCCGCCGCCGCTGCCGCTCTGCCAGAGGCGCGCCACACGCACATGGCGTCCCCGCGCCCCCCCGCCCCCCCCCGTGAGCCGTGTCAACCAGAACAGTGCCCACGTGAAATACCGACGAAAAAGTTATTAAAAAACTTGTCAAATCTCAGTGAAAGCTGAAACGCAAACGGGGGCGGCCGAAACGTTTCATGCTGAAAATGAATTCAGATCCGTCCGAAAAAGTGAATGGAAATTCGTCACTGCTCACTCTCAGTCTCACGAAGCACGAACCTTCGTGGCGGGGTGCTGCTGCTGCGTGCTGGCTCGACGACTGGCTGCAGCCTGCACTGCGCGGCGGCCGGCGCCGCGGCCCAGACGACACTGCCAGAGCCCACAGCCCAGGTGGACCCCACGGCGCCGCGCGCCCTCGACACGCACTCGCGACTGACGACTCTCGAGTCGTCTCGTCTCATTCTGCCGCTTTCGAAGAGATAGAGGGGGGACTGCCTGATCAATTTTATTCAGAAAAGGGGTGCTGGGCTGACAAAAGCCAGTGCGCTCGCGTGTGTCTCCGCATCGAGTGGCATCTCAGACACAGGGAGCCGTGCGGCAGCGAAAGCACGCGCGACCCCCTCCAGACGGGGCGCAGCTAGCGCCGACCCTCGGGTGCGTCGTGGCAGGTCCCTCGCTTACGCCGACTCGGGGTTAATGGAGCGGACAATGTCCGAGTCGCCGGGATCGGTGATGGACAGGACGCTGCAGCGGAACATCTTTCCGCAGGCGGTGCCAAGGGCAATGTTGTTGCCCGAGTAGTGGTGCACGCCCGTCTTCGCGAGCATCGCATAGTACTCGATCTCCGACTTGCGGAGGGGCGGGCAGTTCGAGCCGATGAGGACGAGCTTGGCTGCAGACGGGGGGGGAAGGATGGGCGTAGGGGCGAGGCTCGGACCCTTGCACCGCAGTGGCCGGGAGTGTTCGCCGTCGGGCGTCGGCAGGCGGCGACAGCGGCGGGCGGTGGGTGGGTGGGGTGTTGGGGGGGGGGGGGGGGCATTGGAGGTCGGGGGCGCCGGCGTCTCCCCACCCGAGGGCTATCGGCGTCGCGTGAGGGCAAGAGCGGGGCAGCGGCGCACCCTTGCCCTGGCGCAGCGACTTCATCGTCGACTTGTACCCCAGCACCGCCTTGCCCGATTTCATCACCAGCGCGAGGCGCGCGTTGATGTTCTCCGACGTGTTCTTCTTCTTCTGCGGGGGCGGCGGGGTGCGCGCTCGGCGACTGTGGGCTGCACGCATAGAGGCGCCGGCCGCCGTGTGGACGGCACGCTTCGGCGGGGGGCGGCGGGAGCGGCGGGGAAGGGCCGCGGGGGCCGCGGGGGTCGCGGGGGGGCTGGGGCGTCCGCCTTGGTGACTTTCTCAGCGGGAGCCATGCTGCTCGAGAGGAGGCACACGGCACGCTCCGGCCGTTGTTTTCTTTGTTTCACCACAGGACAGAGAAGCCTGGCTGTTCTTCACCTTTCTACCTACCTACCTACCTACAGAGACGGAAGACAAAGGAGGCAAGAGGAGGCTCACGACACTTAGACATTGGGCTGAAGAGTTATGGGGGCCAGGGGCCAACCAAGACGATCGTGCCGGGGCAAATTTTCGGGGCGGACAGAAACCACGGGAGACGCTCCGGCCTCTGTTTTCTTTGTTTCAACAGACAACCGTCAACACTCGGACACAAGAGACAAGTCACAAGACTCGCTGTCGTCCGGAGGGTAGACATATGAGCCGTGGCGAAGCAGCACCTGGTACGCAGCCTGCTGCCCGAGGTGGGTCGGTCGGAGCTGCGTCACCCGCCCAGTGCTCCACTCCCCAGCGCGCGAAAAAGTCTCCCCAGCACGGCCGTAGGGGAGGCACACCACGAGCTGGCCGACGGCGAAACGGAGTCCGTCGGCGCGGCACTCGGAACACGACGCCTCCTCAGCGCACGCAGCCTCATCAACCGCGTCAAGTTGCGGAGCGTGCGCGCCACGGCCTGCTTCCACACCCAAAAATGCCCGCGTGGGCCGCGCAAGCAGCGGGGCCCATGAGCGGAGCCTGCTCGTCGCGAGCGCTCTCTCGCAGCGGCGGGGGGGCGTCCTTCCACGAGCGCTCGTTGTTGTGCAGCACCTCGACCGGCAGAGCTCCCGACACGAGCTGCCGGCAGAGTCCGGAAAGGCCTGCCCACTCGCTGCTGCCCCACTTGTCGCTGTGTGCTCGCCGATCGGCGCGACTGGAGGTATTTTTTTTGCACCTCTTTAGGTATGTTGTTTGTGCACCTCTTGGTGGCGAAACTCCAACAAATCGTTTCCTGCCCCCACCCCCCCGGGGGGCAGCGACCGACAGACAAGACTTGACGGTTTCAACGGTGCCTTGTGCGACGGTCGCTGTCGCTCGTCGACGCTGCCGGCCTGCGCGCGGGCGGAGGCGTCGCCGAGCATGTCCGAGAGCATCTTCGTCTACTCGCGTCTGCGGAGCGTCTCAAACGAAGGTCCGCCTTCCCGTCTCGAGCCGTTTCTGCGTGCGCCCTGCGCCGCCAGATCCTCCGCGCTAGAGCCGTAGCCTCGCGAACGCCGTAGCGACATGGAAAGGTGCGGAGAGCTCGGCTACGACCCTGTAGCACTAATCTCACGCGTTTGGAGTTTGCTCGTTTCAGCGATCAAGAGCAGTCAGCCATTCGATAAGCTCCCCATCATCACGCTCGAGGACGGCACCACCATCGCCCAGAGTGCCGCGATCGCACGTTGGGTGTCTCTCCGCGTGTAGCCCATGAGGCAGAGGCGGTACGAAGCTCAGCCCTCAGTGGACGCTCGGTCGCAGGTCGCACACTTCGCCGGCCTGCTACCTGACGATCCGACTGCCATCGCCAGGCAGGATATGATCTACGAGGGCGCACAGGCACCGGCACCTATCCGTCCCCTCGCAGCTGCCTAGCACCGCGCAGTTTGGGAACCATCCCTCGCCCGCACCGTCCCCAGCGACGCCCACTCCGCAGGAGCTCTGCAGTGGCAAGCCGACGTCGGGGACAAACATCAACCCGCTCTGCAATATTCTAGACCCAGCCGGCGCAGACTTTGGGGCGGCGAAGGAGATCTACCTCCAAAATTGGCCCACTGCGCGCGCCAACTTTGTGTCGCAGCTCGGCGGCGGCGCCTTCTTCGGAGGCACCGCGCCAATGTACTCCGACTTCGCCATCTGGCACGTTTGCGACAACACGCGCGCGATCGAGCCGGGCGCGCTGAATGGGGAGCCTCGGCTGGGCGAGTGGTTCGATCGCGTGCGAGCCCTGCCGGCGGTTGAGGAGTACCTTCAGGGACGACCCGCCCGCGGGGTTGGAGGGGCGGCAAAGGGCGGCGTCGGGCTGCCAGGCTCTCTAATGGCGG